TATAACCATATATCCACCTAGAACCACCTTGTTCTCATACTGTAGACTGAAACTAGGCCTTGTCAGTCATGCTGCCATTATTCTGAGAGGAAAGCGATTTGTTATATGGAAAAATAAAGGGTTCATTGTTTAATTAAGGTGATGTGTTTTTATTTTTTTCGAAAGATACTGAAACTGTACCGTTACTGTGGCCCAAAAACCATGATACATACAGAACTGTGAACCATCTGTACAATTGCATCAATAATGCAGTGGGGCTTCATGGCCCTGGGGGGTGGGGGGTGGTGGTGATTGGGATTCAATGCAATCAATGTGAATCACTTATCCCCTTGTCCGGAACATGGGTGTCAGGAGTTGAACTACACTAAAATACAGAACGAATACCATACAGAACGAATAGAGCCCTTTGTGAAAGTTTTCACATCAGTCATCCGGAAAAGTTTGACTGCGCAGACTGTAAAAACAGGCAGGAGCACGAAAAAAAATCTTGGTTTTGTAGCTTCTGGACCTGAAATGCCCAACAATGGTGCCGCAATCACAGCTATTCCTACCACAATGTATAAATAAATTAGGAATGGGCCTTTAACAACAACAAAGACAAAACTTTATGGTCCTAGTAACAAACTGCTAATAGTGGCCAGACACACAATTGTCAGCGGGACAGTAAGCATGCTCAGTCACCCAACCTGTTTCTGTAGTAGACTCATTTATCAAGCCACTGCGGAACCTGCCAGCTATTGAGGCATTGCAACTCATGGAGCATATGGATGTTGTGGAAGAGTCAGACATGTTATTCAAGCAAGAATTCCCAGATGTGTTCTCTGGGCCAGGAAGGCTGGAAAGGGACTACAGAATCCGCATCAGGGAAGATGGAAGACTGCAATCACAAGAGCATGCAGTGTACCAACGGATAGAGGAGCCTACAGAGTGGTGTGACTCAGCTTCCTTGGATGGAGTGGTGGATGTGGACGAGCAAAACCGGAGGGAGTCTGGGAGGTGTGAAAGGGATCTGCGACCCTGGTGACCTCTTCCCGAGCCTCTCCAACGCCATCCCTGAGGCCGCTGGTTGCTCTGGGATTAGGCGATGAGGAACCCAAGCAATGACCTGTATCCGAACAAATGTGGGCATGATACTGCTGGTTGAGGACCCAGAGAACTGCCCATGGGACCCCATTCTAGATCTTCAAGCAGGGTATGGCCTGGTAGGATGAGCAGCGGCGTTGCTGGAGAAGCCGACGGGCTATTATTAATTAATATTAATTAATAATATTATTACCTATTAGGTAATCCTTTACAATTGACAGATTTCCCTAGTTAATTTGTAGTTATTTAATTATGTTTATTTAGTTCATTAATTTATAGCTTTCAT